CTTATAAAGACCTTTTCCTTAGTTTCCACTCTTGCTTCTCAACTCTGCTCTGTGTGCTAATTAGATAGGGTCACACGTTTATCCTCTGATCCATTAAAAACACACAGGTCACCTAAATCACGCTGGTATGCTTGATTTGCAATTTGGAGCCCACTCAGAGAGGTCACGTGGCTTGTTGAAGTTCATCCAGCTGGTCATGGTGGAGTCAAGACTTGCACCCAGGCAGCACTTAGGCAGGCCCAGGGAGTTTCATGTTAGCTGGGCAACAACAAGGAAGGCTGGAGCCTGAATTGGCTTCCCTTCCTGGCCTGTTTCAATTGCTCTTCTCTCTGGGGGTGAGCTAGCTGGCAGCTGATACCTGACTCCCATCAGACCACAGAAGCAAACCAGGTGGGTATTAAATGGGCCTTTCTCCAGGAGCTCTCACTCCTCCTTTGGCCCATTGCCTAGCAGGCCGTGCCCCTTCTCGAAGTGTCTTTGCCCCAGCCTCCACAGGGCCCAGTGAGCCTCCTCCTTCTTCCTGGAAGCATCCCTTCCTTTCTGGATTGCTCTGGGCTTTCTGCTGCTCCTCTGCCTGTCTCTTATCTGTATCCTTTGTTAATTGTCCTCCCTCCCCACCCCACAAGGCATGAGCTGAGCAGGAGAGCGGTTACCCAGGGCCTTGACGGGTAGGTGGTGAGGGAAGGAAGACATAGCTCTGGGAAGGATCCACAGGTGCCTCGGAGGTGTCTCTGTAGAGGTGTGCAGACTTAAAGCCAGACGAAACAGATTCTGGATGTGGCTCTGCCACTCTTGATCTGGAAAGCTTTGACCAAGGTCCTCACACCAAAGGGGAAATCTTACAGGTGAGAGTTCAGTAATATAAAATACATGTGAAAGTGCAGATTTCAAATGCCAGTGGCTTAATAGCTATGCCATAAGTAGGGTGTTTGTAGAAAGAATAAAAAAAAGGAGGAATGCTTTGCATGTCTCAAATAACCAGGCTGCCCACTGGGGGCTGTCTCACCCTGGGTCTCTACTTTCTGGTTTTTTTTTTTTAGGTTTTTGTTTGTTTTTGTTTTTTTGGCCACGCTGTGAGGCATGTGGGATCTTAGTCCCCAATCAGAGGTTGAACCTGCGCCCCCTGCAGTGGAAGCGGGGAGTCTTAACCACTGGACTGCCGGGTAAGTCCCTGTTTTATTTTGTTTTGTTTTGGGTCTCCACTTTTAAAAAAAAAATTAATTTATTTATTATTTATTTTTGGCTGTGTTGGGTCTTTATTGCTGTGCACAGGCTTTCTTTAGTTGCATCAAGCGGGGGCTACTCTTCGTTGTGGTGCACGGGCTTCTCACTGCGGTGGCTTCTCTTGCTGCAGAGCACGGGCTCAGTAGTTGCGGCGCACAGGCTTAGTTGCTCCGCGGCATGTGGGATCTTCCCAGAGCAGGGGTCCAACCCGTGTCCCCTGCACTGGCAGGCAGATTCTTTTGTTTTTGTTTTTGTTTTTTCCGTACACGGGCCTCTCACTGTTGTGGCCTCTCCCGTTGCGGAGCACAGGCTCCGGACGCGCAGGCTCAGCGGCCATGGCTCACGGGCCTAGCCGCTCCGCGGCATGTGGGATCCTCCCGGACCGGGGCACAAACCCGCGTCCCCTGCATCGGCAGGCGGACTCTCAACTACTGCACCACCAGGGAAGTCCGCATTCTTTTTTTTTTCTTTTTTAAACCCCACATTTGTTTCTTTATTTATTTTTGGCAGTGTTTGGTCTTCGTTTCTGTGCGAGGGCTTTCTCTAGTTGCAGCAAGCGGGGGCCACTCTTCATCGCGGTGAGCGGGCCTCTCACTATTGCGGCCTCTCTTGTTGCAGAGCACAGGCTCCAGACGCGCAGGCTCAGTAGTTGTGGCTCACGGGCCCAGTTGCTCCACGGCATGTGGGATCTTCCCACACCAGGGCTCGAACCTGTGTCCCCTGCATCGGCAGGCAGATTCTCAACCACTGCGCCACCAGGGAAACCCCAGTCCACATTCTTTTGAAAATATTCTTTTCCATTATGGTTCATCATAGGATACTGAATTTAGTTCTCTGTGCTATATTTAAAACCTTGTTGTTTATGCATTCTATATATAATAGTTTACATCTGCTAACCCCCACTCTTCCTCCCACCCCCCTCCCCCTTGGCATTGGTCTCCACTTTCTATCCATCCTCTCCCTGGGCGGGGTGGGTCCCTTCTAGTAGCCCCACCTGCTACAAAGTACAGCTCTGGGGAATTTTCCCTTAACGGCCTTATTTCACGGTGGAGTTGCAACAATCATATGGGTGTGCCTGGCCAGCTGCGTGGGGCTGAGAGGGGAAGGGTGGGATGATTTGGGGTTGGGGGGCATCAAGGTATAGAATGGGGAAACTGGAGTGAGACTTTCCTTTTTTTCAGGCTTGTGTCTTTCCTTGAGGATTTTCCTAGCACCCAAGGTTCTATTGACCTGATCTCTAATTTCCTTTGAGGTTCCTATTTTTTCCTTATGAACTCCTGTCCAAAGGTGGAGGCGGACCATCCTAGCAACCCAGACTTGCCAAATATTAACAGTGTTACACCCTCCTCACCCGGGTTGTAATTTACTATGTAATGATGTTTTCCTGGACCTCTCTCTAGTTCTACTCTAGGTAGGTGTAATAATTTTTTTATTGTTGTAAAATATACTTAACATAAAAATGACCATTTTAGGGCTTCCCTGGTGGCGCAGTGGTTGAGAGTCCGCCTGCCGATGCAGGGGACAGGGGTTAGTGCCCCGGTCCGGGAGGATCCCACATGTCGCGGAGCGGCTGGGCCCGTGAGCCATGGCCGCTGAGCCTGCGCGTCCGGAGCCTGTGCTCTGCAACGGGAGAGGCCACAACAGTGAGAGGCCCGCGTACCGCAAAAAAAAAAAAAAAAAAGACCGTTTTAACCATTTTTTTAGTGTACAGCTAAGTGGCGTTAAGTGTATTCACACTGTTGTGCAACCATCACCACGACCCATTTCTAGAACTTTTAAAATCTTCTCAGAAACACTATACCCGTTAAACAATAATTTCCTATCCTTCCCTCTCCCCAGTTCCTGACAACCACTATTCTACTCTCTGTCTCTGCTCTAGGTACCTCATGTAAGTGGAATCATAGAGTATTTTTTCTTTTGTATCTGGTGTATTTCACTTAACACAGTGCCTTTAAGATTCATCTATGTGGTATCATGTGTCAGAATTTCCTTCCTTCTTAAGGCTGAATAATATTTCATTTTATGTATATTACCACATGTTTTTTATCCATTCATCTGTTGATGGACACTTGGGTTGTTTCCACCTTTTGGCTGTTGTAAATAATGCTGCAATGAACATTGGTGTACAAGTTTGTTTGCCTTTCTGTTTTCTCTTGGGTATATACCTAGGAGGGGAATTGCTGGGTCATATAATAATTCTGTTTAACATTTTGAGGAACTGTCAAGTTGCTTTCCCCAGCGACTGCACCATTTTACATTCTCACTAGCAATGTATGAGGATTCCAACTTCTCTGTATCCTCACCAATGTTTGTTATTTTCAGGTTTTTTATTTTTTTGTTTTTTACTATAGCCATATTACTAAGTGTAAAGTGGTATCTCATTATGGTTTTGATTTGCATTTCCCTAATGACTAATGGTATTGAGAATCTTTTCATGTGCTTATTGGCCATTTGTGTATTTTTTTTGGAGAAGTGTCTACTCAAGTCCTTTGTCCGTTTTCTAATTGGGTTGTTTGTATTTTTGTTGTGGAGTTCTTTATATATTCTGGATATTAAACTCTTATCAGATGTATGATTTGCAAATATTTTCTCCCATTCTGTAGGGTTTTCTTTTTTTCACTCCTCTGATAGTGTTTGTTGACATACAAAAGATCTTAATTTTGATGAAGTCCAATTTATCTATTTGTTGTTGTTGTTGCCTATGCTTCTGGTGTCACATCTAAGAATCTATTGCCAAATCCAAGGTATGAAGGCTTACCCTTATGTTTTCTTCTAAGTCTTTCATGGTTTTAGCTTTTATATTTACGCATGATGGGTGGGTAAGCAGTGTTTTGTGTGTGTGTGTGTAAGGGTAAAGTTTCTAGTGTCTGTTGAGTCTTTTATTTCTTGAGCACTTAAAGCACTTTATATACTTTATATCACAGTGTTATCCTCATGTAACACGTGAGGGGAGATAGTCTCAGTTGACTGAGGGAAGTCAACTGAGGCTCAGATAAGTTAAATGATTTGCCTAAGTTAAACAACCTGTAAGTGACCAAGCTGGTCCGGCTGGGTTTTTAGTAATGTGCCACTCAACTGCACAGGAAAATAATGAAAATTTAAGTGCGTAGTAAAGGTGACAGCTCGGAGCTAGGGTGCAGGGAATTCCCAAACTGTCTCGCTTTCACCTCTGCTGCCTCCATCCTCACCCCACCCTCCGCCCACTCCAGCTCCTCCTAACTTCCGGCGCTGAGCGCAGCCCTTCCATTGGCTGTTGTTTACAGGGCCTCAGGCTCATACGAGGGGAAGCAGCCAATCAGTGTGGCTCGTCTCCGCCCAGCCAGCCAGCACTAGATCGCGTGGTCCTTGTCCCTCCCATGGCATGTCGGGAACTGTAGTCTAATGAAGCATTTCTTCCTAGAGTGAAAGGAGATCGAGAACTACTGGTCCCAGGGAGCTGAGCGCCGAGCGGTCCGGCTTTTAGGAGTACCCAGCCAACAATCTGGAGCAGCAACTGGCGTCCAGAAACAGGTGAGACAGGTCGAGGGCTGGCAGGGGTTAGAAACTCGGCCTTACCTCTGTAGCGATACTTTAAGGCACAGGAGGTCCAGTCTGTTGTGTTAGAGTTCCCCCGTTTTGGGGGTTGGTGGGACCGACTCACACTGTGGTTGTGCAGAAACTCCTGAACTCTGTCTGCCATGTGCTTTCCTGGAACCCCACAGGATAACTGCACCCTGCTTTGCTCTTCTGCTGCGAACCCTCCCCTCCCACCCAGTGTTGCACCGACGCTGTCTGCGCAGTCCCAGAGCCCCAGGCTACATGTCCATAGCACCCAGGGGTTCCGCTTTCACTTCTCTTCTTGAGGCATCTCAGAACCTGCGCTCCCCTCTCCCCGCCTACCAGGGGAGACCTGTGCTCTAGATTTGGCGCTGACACTTCCCAGGTATCTTCCTATCTCCTAGAGCCTCAGTTTGACCCCCATAAAATAGGGTGATGTAAGGGTCCTCCCAGCCCCCAGTCCTGAGGTCCTTTACTCTGGACTCTTCTATCATTTGCTCCAGAACTTGGGGGAAGAAGCCAAGAGTGTAGTAATTCCAGAGGCTCCCTGGAAGAGGCGTTGACGGTTTCTCAACCGGATAAAGTTAGGTGGCATTAAGTTCTAGCCGTCTTATTTTAAGTGTGATCAGTTGAGTCTTGGTCACCCAGCCATACTTTTTGTTCCCTGCGTTTCTTTCTGTAAATGCCCTCAAGCTCATCCCAGAAGAAAGTGGGGCATTCTGGGTATGGAGGTAAAAGTTTGGAGGGTGACCTGGGGAGCTGACAACGTGCATCTGCCTTTGGTGCTTGCTCCTGCAGGGAGTGCTTGATGCCCCCTCCCTATGCCACCCCCCATGCTGCCCCTGTCCCGCTGGCTGAGATCTGTGGGGTTCTTCTTGCTGCCAGCCCCCTGCTGGGTACCCCGGGAGAGGTGGCTGGGTTCCCTACGGCAGCCCTCCCTGGTGCATGGGTGCCCAGTCCTGGGGGCCTGGCACAGTGCCCGCTGCTGGTGCCAAGCATGGACAGAGGAGCCTCGGTGAGTTTGGCGGGGTGAGGGGCCTTGGGGAGGGGAGCAGCTGATTAGGTTTCTGACTTGTCCTCCCTCTTGTCAGAGCATTTTACTCCTCCCTCAGAATGAATGGAGACCAGAAATTGGATGTTTATGCCCAAGAAAGGCAGGATTTCATCCAGCACTTCTCCCAGATTGTCAAGGTGCTGACTGAGGAGGACATTGGACACCCAGAGACAGGAGATGCTATTGCCCGACTCAAGGAGGTGAGGGGTTTATGACTTGAGAGAGTGAACCTTTGCACTCTCTGTGCATGTGTGGGATCCAGCTCTGGCTTTTGACAGGTATGGGAGCAGGCTTTTATCTGAGTGACTCTGGGTGCACTCTGGAGGGGCTGGGGCCTGGGCAGGTATATTTAGTCAGCCGGTCAATCCTGCCCTGTGGTTCTGCTGAGCCAGCCAGACTGCTTTGTATGGGGGTGGAGGGCCTTGAGCCTGGTAAGTCTTTAGTTTTGTTGAGAAAGGGAATTAGGTGTCCAGAAATCATGAGGTGCTACTTTGTCAGGGACCTGGGAGGAAGCAGTCTGAAGTGGGCCTGAGTGAAGCTAGTGTATCGTCAGAAACCCCTGCTCCAGAACAGGAGCTATTGCTGGGATACTTAAGTTGCCTAATTCTTTTATTCTTTGGGAGTATCTAGTAATTCTTTTTGTAAATGCTGTCTCATTTGTCTGAGGGGAACTAAGGAAAAGGATGTCTGTCTACACTGGGATGGAGATTAAAAGGGAAGTCTTCCCAGTGAATTAGATCTGGTTGACAGCAGGGCAGCAGAAGGCACAATGAGAAGCCCCAGCAGGAGGGGATGCCATTGGAGGAGTGGGGGGTGGGTTCCCCAACCTCGGTCCCCTCCAAGTTGTCCTCTGGCCAGCTCTGTGGGTAGGGGGCTTGCCTTTAATAAAGTGAAAGAGGCTTTTCATTTGCAGATAGGTTGAACTGTGGGTTGGAGGAGGTGGCTGAGAAAGGAGGAATGGGCTGTGAAGGGGAAGTTAGGAGAACTGGGGACGGGGTGAAGGAGAGACGTGAGCAGGCCAGCCATTCCCATAGTGAAACCACTAGGTGGTGTTTCTGGGGGCTCTGAGGAGCTCCCGTTCTTTATGTCTCAGCACAGAAAGAATTCAGCAAGAGGCAAAGTGATAGAAAAGAAGTGATTTGTTAGAATAGAATGCTTGTGAGGCTTACAAGCCAGTGGGTGAGAGGGTGCCACACCCCAAGAACTTTGTGGGCTACAGTTTTATAATCAAAGGAAAAGTGGGGAGGAGGACAAAACTACCTTCTTCCTCATTCTTGAGTAGATGTCATGCTTTCATCATCACCTCCTCCTCCGGGTTGGGCAGGGGAGTTTTCTTGTCCCTACATGTTTAAGCCAGGACTGTCGTGGCACTATGGAACAATTATTTCAGGTCTTAGTACAATGAGGGTCTTTTACACTGAAATGTCGCCTTTCCATAAATTGTTTTTTGTGTGTGCAGAGAGCATGTTCTAGGGGTCATTAGCTTACTGCACTCACTGGGCAGGATGTGGGTCTCATGCCACCATTATTTTATTGTTTGGGGGCATATCTTATGCTCTGTTGCATGGTTTTGTTGCTAAGCAGGCCTGCTTGGTTTTGTGGTTAAGCGAACCTGCTTTCTTCAGTGATCATTAACTTACAGGGGTCTCCCATACTTTTTACTTACAGTCCCCTAGTGGGATTAACTATTTAATCACCTACGTTGTCCTTTTACTCTGTCCCTGTCAGTAGCACGTACAGAGTTTTTGCCCAGTTCAAGCCCTGTCCTGGGTTTGGGAGCAGATTTTACTCTCCCGTATGGAGCCGTTAAGTGTACTAAAGAAGACAATGCAGAGAGAGCCTGGGGGCTGGACAACTAGCTGTGCTCCAGGATTTGGGAAGAAGCCAAGAGAATAGCAATTCCAGAGGCTGCCTGAAGGAGGGGTTGGGGTTGAGGAGGATAAAGTTAGTGGAAAAGGGCAAGGAGAACTCTCAGAATAGCTGCTCTGTAGACCCTGATGCCCTGTCCCTCTGCCCTTGCCCCCAGGTCCTGGAGTACAATGCCATCGGAGGCAAGTACCATCGGGGTTTGACAGTGCTGGTAGCGTTCCGGGAGCTGGTGGAGCCCAGGAAGCAGGATGCTGAAAGTCTGCGGCGGGCCCTGACTGTGGGCTGGTGTGTGGAACTGGTAAGAGGGAGGGGGAGGGGCAGGAGAAGACGAGGTTTACTAGAGTTGGGGGTACCCTGGGTAGGATGGGGTGGGGCAAGGAGGGATGAGCCTAAAACTTGGTTTCTTGGTTGTTTGTGTTTCTGTGCCTCTAGTGTGCTGCAGCCAGACTTAGTGAATTACTCCAAGGGTTAACAAATGTGGGGAAACTCTTTTGCCAGTAGGTACACATTTCACCTGTAGACCTGCTGTGGGCCAGGGCCTTGGAACTGGCCATAAAGTTGTCAACGCTTTCCTCTGAGCAGAGGGCAGCCGCAGAAGTAAGATAGTTCTTCTAGAACGTTATTCTGTGGCAAAGATTGAAAACTGGAAGCCCATTGGTAGTTTTCGAAAATATTTTAAAATTAAGTTCCCTAAATCTAACAAAGAAGAGATTTCACATAAAACACCAGATTTCTAGCATTACTTGGAAAATTGCTAGATCTGGGTCCAGAGTCCCATGTAGCAACAGTTGGCTGAAGTTGAATTGAGGCCACTTTCCCAAGACAGGACATGTGTGGGTCTGTCTTTATCTTTCTCCAATCCCCACATCTTCCTGTCTCTAAGCTCACTTGGCCCTTGAAGGTGTATGGTTTGCTGGCCTGGCCTAAAGTCTTCATTAGCGACAGGGGGACCAGGTTCTGGGGGCGGCGGCGGTGCCAGGCCCTGAGGAGGGGGCCAGTGAGCCCAGGAGGGAAGACACTCAGGGCTTGGCAAATGACGGGTGATTCTGGCCTGCGGAGAGGAGCAGCTGGCCCGAGGGAGGACGTGACGAGCTGAGTCTGCCACACCGCATTCTCGGTATGAGCAGATCAGGTGGAGCTGTCTGTCTTGCAGGTGTCGGAAATTCCAATCTGGAGCCTGTAAGAGAGACGGGGCTGGAGAATAGGGATTTGCCTCCAAGGAGGTAGAAGGACGATGGCCTCACTGGATGGGGCCCCTGGTGAAGGGCCCCTGGTGCCCTTCTAGGGATTGGGAGGGGCCGAGGAGCCCATAAACACAGAGGGCGGGCAAGGAGGGAAGGGCAGGAGGAGAGGGGCAGTGCTGTGGGGCGGAGGGAGGCGAGAGCGCGAGGGGCCAGCAGCTCACCTGGTAGAGTCAGTTGCTGTTAACCTTAGCTGCACTGGGTGCATCTGGGGGTGTTTTTCTCTTTCTTTTGGCCGTGCCACGCGGCTTGTGTGATCTTAGTTCCCTGACCACGGATTGACCCCTGGGCCCTGGCAGTGAAAGCCCCGAGTCCTAACCACTGGACGACCAGGGAACTCCCATGTTTTCTTTTGTTAAAAAATTAATTAATGAATTAAATTTTGGCCGCGTTGGGTCTTCCTTGCTGCGCGCGGGCTTTCTCTAGTTGCAGCGAGCGGGGGCTGCTCTTCATTGTGGTGCGGGGGCTTCTCATTGCGGTGGCTTCTCGTTGCAGAGCACGGGCTCTAGGCGCACGGGCTTCAGTAGTTGTGGCTCGTGGGCTCATGGGCTCACGTAGTTGTGGCTCACAGGCTCTAGAGCACAGGCTCAGTAGTTGTGGCACACGGGCTTAGTTCCTCCGTGGCATGTGGGATCTTCCTGGACCAGGGCTCGAACCTGCGTGCCCTGCATTGGCAGGCGGATTCTTAACCACTGCGCCACCAGGGAAGTCCCCCCCACCGCCCCGTGTTTTCTTAAACGCAGCTGTACTTCTGTCACTTCCCCAAGATTCCATTCGAGCTGTCCACCATTGTTTTGGATGATTTTTGTTATAATTTCTGCTTCTATCTTCCTTTCACTTCTACCTCATCTCCTTCAATCTCTTATTTTTCTATTTCAGCATTTACTTCCTAAAAATGAGGACATTTGCCTATGTAACCACAATACTGTTATCACATCTTTGTCTGGGCTGCTACAACAAAATACCACAGGCTGGGTAACTTATAAACAACAGAAGTTTATATCTCACAGCTCTGAAGGCTGGGAGGTCCAAGATCAAGGCACCAGCACGGTCGGCTGAGGGCTTTCTTCCTGGTTCATAGCCAGCATCTCCTTGCTATGTCCTCAGGTGGAAGGGGCAAGGGAACTCTGTAGGGTCTCTTTCATAACGGCACTAATCCCTTTCACGAGGCTTCCACTCTCATAACCTAAGCACCTCCCAAAGGGTCCACCTTCTAATACCATCATCTTTGAAGGTTAGGATTTCAACATATGAATTTTGGTGGGGGACACATCCAGATCATAGCAACATCCAAGATATTTAACATTGGTACTAAAATATTATCTAATGTATATTCCATATTTAAATACTTGTAAATCCCCCCCAGTTGTCCACTATAGGTTTTTTTTTTTTCTTTTCTTTTTTTTTTAACATCCAGGATCCAAGCAGGAGTAATGTATCGCATTTGGTAGTTTTTGTCCAGTCTTTAGAATACTTCCTCTATCACAGTTGACTTTTTTAAAAGTCCAGGCCAGTTATTTGGTAGAGTATCTCACAATCCAGTCTGATTAATATCACGATGAAATAATCAGGGTAAACATTTTGGTAAGGATGCTGCATAGGTAATGTGGTATATTTCCCGTTACTTCCCACTATAGTACATACCTGGGAAGATGACTAAGAAAACTCAACCCAGTACTGTGGTACCATCCCTATAGATTTAAAGTTCTCCTAACAAATAGAAAGTGCAGTTGCGGGGCAGAGAAGATTGAGGGAGGCCACAGAATGAACGCCCTTTGGAGACAATCTTGGTTGAGTGGTGCTGGTAGAAACCAGATGGCCCTTGTAATCACTCAGGGGAGGCAGCAGACCTGTGGCTTCAGGGGAACAATGCCACTCCAAATAAACACATCGTAAATAAAAGGTGTGCCCCCAGTGTGGAAAACCCAGGTCCCACCCCAGGGCGAAGTCAGAGGTCAAGGTGCAGATGGACTTCACCTGGAACAAGAGCAGCGATCGCCATAACCCTTTCTCTGCCCACACGTGAGCTGGTGGGTGGTGTTGGGCACTTCCTCTGAGCTGTGGAGATCCACTAGAGCACATACAGGGATCAGGGTGGGGTGAAGGTTTAAAAACTATATCTTCGGGAAATTCCTGGTGGTCCAGTGGTTAGGACTTGGCGCTTTCACTGCTGAGGGCCCAGGTTCAGTCCCTGGTCAGGGAACTAAGATCCTGCAAGCCGCGTGGCGCAGCCAAAAAAACCCAGAAAAAACAAAAACCATGTCTTCAAAAGCTGTTTGAAGGAGCCGGAATGTGTAGCCTGACTGCAAGAAGCATCCTGGGGGGCGTTACAGTGCTTCATTCTCTCATTTATTTCTTAGACAAACATTTATGACACACCCACTCTGGGACCGTGCTGTGCTGGGCTCTGAATACATTGCCCTGCCTCCAAGGAGTTCACAGTCCTGTGGGGAAGCAGCCCGTTTGGGCACCTTCAAGTAGGCTGGCACTCAGAAGAGTAAGCGCTTTGATGATGTTTAAGACCCATGGGTGAAAGTTAGCAGAGGTCAGACTTCAGTTCCATCCTATCAGACCTGCGCTCCCTAACGAGCTCCCTGAGGTGGGGTTTTGTTCCTGGTCACTGGAGTGGGTAAGCAGAGTGCCCGGGGAGGACACAGGAACAGCCTTTTTTGTTCCACAAGTCATGTAAAGTCAAATTGCATGAAGAAATCTTACTCGAAGCATTCACTGAAGCTTTTGGCAAGAGAGTACAGTATATGAAGATGTTTCATCATCTCCCTGATACCAGGGATTGTCTAGGGCTGCTTGTCTGGAGATGTTAGAGATCTGTTGTGTCTCTTACTTTGAAAACAAGGGAGTTTTTGTCCCCTTTTATAGTCGGGAAGCCTGAGCCAAAGAAGTCATGTAACTTTCCAGAGTCCCACAGCACAGACGAAAAGTCCTTGGTGGACTTCCCTGGTGGTTCAGTGGTTAAGACTCCACGCTCCCAGTGCAGGGGCACGGGTTCAGTCCCTGGTTGGCGAACTAAGATACCACATGCCACATAGTGTGGCCAAAAAAAAAAAAAAAAAGTATTCGGCCTCCTCATCCTGACCTTCCTTACGAGCTCAGTGATTCCCAAAAGCAGCAGCTCTGTTGCTGGTACAAGGAACAGTGACAAGGAGCCCTGGGCCTCTTATCCCACTTTTCGTTCTCCTAGCTCCAAGCCTTCTTCGTGGTGTCAGACGACATCATGGATTCATCCCTCACCCGACGGGGCCAGATCTGCTGGTATCAGAAGGTAAAGTGGGCGGGAAGGTAGCGGTGGGCATGGGAACAGGCCACAGGGAGATGGTCACGTGGAGCCGGTGGAGGTGTTCAGAGTTACAGGTTCTTGGTATGAGTCTAGGCCAAAGACTGATTGCTTGTTTTTCTGTATCCTTGACAGCCAGGCATAGGTTTGGATGCAATCAATGATGCTTTCCTTCTGGAAGCATGTGTCTACCGCCTGCTGAAGTTCTACTGCCGGGAGCAGCCCTATTATATGAACCTGATTGAGCTCTTCCTGCAGGTGTGCTGCAGACCAGGGCTCAGTGCCCAGAGGCTGCCCCCAGTAGCCTTGGCCTCTGTAGGACATTCTCGTCTAGCTTGTTTCGGGACACAGGAGATACCTCAGTTTGCCTGGATGGGGAAATAATTGAGGAAGGGAATTGGGGAGGGTGGTGGTGGCGAGAGGGGCTTTTGTGTCTCTGTGACTGAGGAGTGGTAAGGGACTGTGTGTGTGACTGGATGGGCCTTGAGTCTTGGGCCCCTCTCTCCCTCCTGCTGTCTTTCTGACTGCCCAGGTGTCAACTGGTATGGGATGTAGGGCCCAAGATTTCAGGGTTCTCCAGCCCTGGGGAAAGCCCAGGTCATGGGCCATTTTCCTCTTCCTTAGAGTTCTTATCAGACTGAGATCGGACAGACCCTGGACCTCATCACGGCCCCCCAGGGCAATGTAGATCTTGGCAGATTCACTGAAAAGAGGTGAGGGACAATGGGAACCATATCTGGACAGTGAGGGAGGGCTGGGGCGGGGGCATTATCCTTCTGAGGAGTTTATCTTCTCCCTATACTCAGGTACAAATCTATTGTCAAGTACAAGACAGCTTTCTACTCCTTTTACCTTCCTGTAGCTGCTGCTATGTATATGGTGAGTGAGCCTCCCCACCCTCGCTGCCCTGCCCATGTGGCTTTTGGATAGTAGGCCACAGGGCAGACAACTTTGGACAATCTGGTGCCCCCATTGAATGGCTGTGTGATCCTGAGCAAGTTACTTAATCTCTCTGAGTCTGTTTCCTCAGCTGTAAGATGAGGATAAAAATCCCCCCCCATGGGACTATTGTGAAAATTAACTGAGTGGTTAATATGAATGTGGATGGCCCATCAAGGGGGAACAATAAATCCTCCGTCTGAGTACGGATAGGAGTGGGGAGGATATAATTCAGGCTGAGAGGGAGAAGACTGGATTCGGAGGTGGTCAGTGGGATTAACTGTCTATGCTGACCTTCTCCAAGTTTCCTTTTCATCCTGAAAGAATTTGGAACTGGCAAACAGATTAAGAAGAGGGATCAGAGTGACTCAGGGACTGAGCCTTGTGAGAGAAGAGATAGTCTGAGGGCCTCCAGAATGGACTCACCTCTGCTATGACTCACAGGAAGACCTAGCTAAAATAAGTGGATGGGGCTGGACCATCAATCAGGACTTCCTAGATCAGGGAAGCCAGGGATGTCTGAAAGGAGAGGACAGAAGATTTGGGGGCTGCACTGGGGCAAGACCTCGTGGAATGAAGCGGCCAGGAAGATGAAGGCACCTCTGGTGTATGGCTTGTTAATCCCCTTTTCACTGTAGGCGGGCATTGATGGGGAGAAGGAGCATGCCAATGCCAAGAAGATCCTGCTGGAGATGGGAGAGTTCTTTCAGATTCAGGTGGGAAGGCATGAGGCACTGGCAGAGAAAAGGCTCCAACTTTCCTCTT